AAGCAGAGCTGGAACCACCTCAGCAAATTAAGGATAAGGAACAGTGCTTTGTGCCATGCAAGTGGGTGAGGGAGGAAAGAGGACAGGACACTGCTGGTAGACTCCTAAGCACATCAATGCACTCTCATCATTCAGCAGTTTGCTACTGTCCCATACCCGAAGTGCTGAACACCTTGGAGGTCAAACCTATTCATGCCAAGTCAACCACGTGCACTCACTCGATGAAGGAATAACCACAAGTTACTCTTTGCCTCTATAAACAAAAGAAGTGCTGGGGAAATGCAAAGTCATTCGAGAGAACCAAGGAGGGTCACAACAACTGCGATATATGTACTTATCTGAAATCCCTACCTCATGCCCTCTGTCTTGCACAGGACATGATTCACTGTCTGCTTCTGAGAATGACCCAGACTCATCGCTGGAGTTTGTTCCATAGGATGGCTCACATTTAATCTGGGCTCGCACCGGGTTGTACAATCCATCCCCCACCACGCCGGGCTCCTGGTGCTCGGGCGCCAGGAATCGAGGGCCCTGGGAGCAGGGGGAAGAGGAGAGCTCGCAGAGACGCAGGCTGCAGGGAGAGCCACCACTGCCATCCTCCGCGTACGAGTAGGAAGAGCACGAGCTGGAGGTCCTGGTTCTGGTTTCCAAAGGAGGAGAGCGAGGGCAAACTTTTATTGGCACTGGACAGCTGGTGTTTGGCCTCATCCTTCCCGGCAAGTGATCAGCTGTCAGTCCACTGTGCGAATAGGTCTGGGAGCTGGGCAGGGACTGGCTACCACCAGCCCACAGACCCTTTGGCACAGTCTCAGTGAGGTCTTTGTCCAAGCTGCTCACACCAGAATATGAATGCACCGAAGTGTTTACTTGGTCACAAGCATTTGAAGAGAATATAACACTCCTCCTGTCCAGTTCCCCTTCTTGCTTACAGAGAGTTTCAAAGCCAGGCCCCCTGAGTGGTGATCCCACTGTGAAGTTGGAAGTATCCTTCTGCATGGCATGGGACTGTCCATAGTTCCCTGTGAATGGGACGTAATCAGTTTTGTGGTCACCCTGAGTTGTCCCTTTTTCAAAAGGGCATGCTGGACTCCTGCCAAAGTGCTGTTGGGAAGTGCTGGGGAAGCCAACCAAATCTATGCTCTTTGTTCTGTTGAAGAAAGACCTCAAGCAAGAAGGAGAAGACCCACTTTTTGGCCTGTCGACACAAGTGGGGCTTGGCTGTTTCCTGTCCATTTCAACATCCCCTTCTTTATCCCTGATGTCAGGTTCATCTCCAGACAGGCAAAGCGTGATGCTTTCTTCATCGTTCTCTTCATTCTGAGGCTCACTTTTTATCTGCCCCATAGCAAGTCCTGATTTGAGGCCATTTCCAGAGCTCTCTTCGCTGAATGTGCTTGCAAAACCTGAGGTACTGATGTGTGATGTGTTGTAGACATTCTTGGTACAAGCAAGCTGGTATTTCTTGTATCTGGGGTACCGTGTTACTGCATCTTTATCCAAATTGTCCTTGCTATCTCTCAGCATGTCAGAGTCAGGCAGCATCCCTTCACCTTTGTCTGCTCCAGCAGCAGTGGCTTCAAAACTGAAGGGCTCTTGGTGCATCCGCTCTCTTGGGCAAGATATCTTTGACGTCTCCGATTCCATCGTCTCCTCCTCGTCTCCGTCTGAGTTCTCCTCATCGTGCATGCGCTGACAGGTGGTGTCTTTCTTGCACAGGAACAGGCCATCCTCGTTGTTCAGCAGCTGTGTCTGAAGGAAGCTGAAGCAGGAGTCCTCCAGGTTGTGCATGCGCAGGAACTCCGCGCAGTGGATGACCTCCTGGATGTTTTCTCTGCTGAGTAACAGCTTGGCAGTGTAGGCAAACTGTAACAATGGACCAAATCCCCTGACAGTGACCTGCAAGAAAACAGAGAGGGAAATTGCCAGTGTTACCATAGCTTTTGCTATCACCCCAAGTCCCTCATCATGTACTCAGATAACCTAACAGATCTGGTGTTCAGAAATAAACAGTGCCCAGCACCAGTTTTCTCCTGTCGCACCAGCAATGATGCTACACCTAATAACTAGCACTGCTCCCTTCATGTTGCTCCTGTACATCATCGTACAGGTTGAGCTGAGCACTATTTTTCCCAAATATCTCAAAGACCTATGAACTAAGCCCTAATAAAAGACAGAAAAAACCCAGACTGCTGCTGACACTGATAATTCTTGTATGGATCTTATTTTACCTGTGCTACAGAATGAAAGCACCAATTCAACCTTGATTTGTCTGTCCTGATGAAAGGTCCAGCAAACAGTGGGTTCAAGCTTAAGATGTCACTTAAATCCAAAAAGTGTTTTGGGAAGAAAACATTTAATATTACAGCCAAATTCAACAGAAAGCATCTTTCTGCCTCTTTCAAGAGCAAACACGTTTCATCTTTTCTTCTCAAATTCTTTGCAAGCCTTGCTGAATACACAGTAGGTTAAGTACTGTCTGCACAGCTCTTTCCTCCATCCCATGGAGATTATTCCCCTCATACTGCTCCTGATTTTAGCGAGCCTAAGGTATAGCTAACAGGAAAGAAATTCATATTTATAGTTCAAATGATACAAATTACCCTGAGTCTCACCTCAATACTTAATTTTCCACCATTTTCTGTGTAGAAAGAGCAAAAACTATTTATGGGAGAGTGATCTCCAACCAGCTGTTCCACGTCTGAGTTATGTCCCACTACCTTTTTCTCATCATACCATGTATATTTTACGTTATATACATTAAAAATTACACATTTTCTATCCCCCCTGACATTTTCCATAGTGGTATCTTTACATGTAACTATCAAATAACTTGCTAAGCCACATGGTAAATTATAGATATCATCTATTTTTCACCAAAATGCACTGGCACTAACTTCTGTTGCATTTTTCCCCCCAATGGGCATGTAACAAAGGTACTGGAAAAACTCTATTCTTCCAAAGAATCAAGAGATGTTTCAAAACTGGGTTCACCATCAAGGATAAAGGTTTCTCCACAAGGAGATTCAGTGGTTTGGCCACGAAGTTAAGATTTGGAAGATGACAACTCAACTTCCCATTGCATGGATCACCTACTGTATGACCCTGGCAAGTCACTTCAGTCTGGATTTGTGCCTTGCTTGCAAGTAGCATTTACAGATCTGAGTTCCCTCTGCTTTGCACACCAAGGAAAGGCATTTAGATGGGATTCAGTGCAGTCAACACCTGCATGCCAGAGGTTGGGATGTACGGCCTGCAACCTCCTTCTGGACGTAGAAGTCTCTGGCTGATGTCCCCAGCTCAGTTTCTTCTTTTAAAACTAACCAGAAGAGGGAAGAACTGCTGTCCCTCTTTTGCAAAATGGCCTAAAGATTAGAAGAGGGACCTAGAAAGTAGGAGACCACATCTGTGGAGTTTGAAACTCACATTTCCCAGCTCCTCAGAAGGATATCCTACCCAGTAGGCATGGGATACCCTGAAGGTGAGTTGCTTTTCCCTGATCTTCCAATGAAATTATGCCACTGAGCAAGAAGCTGTTCAAGAGGTTGGCGAGAATCACAGAATTATAGAATTTAGGGGTTGGAATGGGCCTTACAGATAGTCCCAACCCCCTGCCCTGGGCAGGGACACCTCCCACCAGAGCAGGTTGCTCAAGGCTCAGCCAACCTGGCTGTGAACACTGCCAGGGTTGGGGCAGCCACAGCCTCCCTGGGCAACCTGGGACAGTGTCTCACCACCCTTAGAGTCAAAAATTCTTTTCTCACATTCAACTTAGCCCTTCCTTCCTTCAGTCTGAACCCATTACCCCTTGTCCTATCACTGCAGTTCCTAACATAGAGTCCCTCTCCAGCTCCTTGTAGACATCAGTCCATGAATTTGTGATGGTCTTATTCATGACTAGCATGTATCCAAGTCAATGGATAATGGTTAATCTCAATGAAAAGCCTATAAATTCCCTATTCTGCCTCAGAACCAGTGGTAGAGTTCAGAGATTTTTTTATGGAAAACCCTGACTTTCAGAACAAGCCTTTGTTACTCACAGATCTGTGCGTGTGATGTTGGATTACGAAGACACCACAAGCCGTGCAGACTTTGATGCAGAGAAAAATATTTTAAAACACCTCCCAAATTGCTCCCAATAGCTTTTCCACCCCTAATATTCTTGCTGTATCTGCTATTTTAGGAAGCAGTGCATTTTCAAGCACGTACTTACACGTTCCTGTTTTATAATGCGCCTCTGGTACGGAACTGCCAAGATTTACAGCTGGCTATTAAACCCATCTCTGCTTTATCAGTGTTACACTTTCTGCCTATTTGTTAGATTATCAGCTCACTAAAGGCCTATCTGCATTTTATCTATGCAGCATGATTAGCAAAATTGCTCGGGAACTTAATGAGCTACTCGCAGGCTGATGTCGGGTAAGATCTTCAGTGTGGGGGCTACATGTTCCTGCATATCTTTGCAAGCTCTGCAGCAGCGTTAGGTCTGGAGGAGCACAGACACAGCTTTCCTGACAGTGCTGTCCCTTAGCCACTAGATGGAATGGCTGGAAAGCAAATCAAACTGATTTTCAGTGCTGGGAAAAGGTTTCACCTGGTTGCAGCCCCAGCGTGGACACCTTGCAGAGCCTTGGGTTGACTCATCCGACCCCACAGCAAGGCTGCTGCTCCGAGTCGATCATCAGGAGAGCAAACAGCAGCAAGACAGCTGGCAGAGCTGCTCTGTGATGGATGTAGCAGAAGCAGAGCCCAAGACTGTGCCGTGGGCTCCCCACGATGCCCAGCAGATGCCTCAAGTGAAGAAAGATGAAAACTCCTAAGCGAACGTGTGCCTTGACTTCGTGATGAGCTATTACCCACTGACACAACTTTCACTCTCACAGTCTTCAGATCCAAAGGGGGAAAGTTTCTTTTCAAGCACCCGCTGCTTGTCATTGCCCTCGGGGAGAAATCTCTCAAGTGCCAATGCTTGAAACGGCACAAACAATAACTTTGGAAACAAATGGGTGCAAATCTTGCTGCCAAGCGTGAAAACCAGTGCAAGCTCTGATGCCTGAAGTTGTCTAAATATTGATTTGGCTCCCATGGCAGGTCCCCTGTCTCAGCCCCACCAGTTTTGGGACTGCTTGCATGTGCTGCATTCTGGCAGGAAGGCTGGAATGGAGCTGCTGGAGCATGGCTGTGAGCACCAGACACTGGGAAAGAAAAGGCTTTGAAGCTGCCTGTATTACCACCACACACACATTTCTCTAGGAAGAGGTAAGGAGAGCCTTTTAATATGATTCGATCTGACTGATGCAGCTCAGTGAAACAAGTTGATGAAAACAAGTTGATCTGCGTTTGCAGAAGGAAAGATAATTTCCCTGACGTAACAGACTCCATTTACACACGGGAGAGACCTTTGCTGGATGGGCAAAAGACATGCCAGCAACAACCTCAGTTTATTTTTTTTTTTCCCTACTGCAGATAAGATAGACTCAAGAGCTGTTTGCTTTTAAACCTTGTTTTCCATGTGAATTAATGTTTAAGCAGGCAGGTCAGTCTGTGGGAACCTCCACTGGGCACCTTGTCCAAGCTCATATGCCAAGTCACTGCTTCCCTGCCTTCCAATCCTTTGCCTTATTCCAATTTCTAACCACTTCTATTGTGTAAATGGAATTGATTGACTACTAGAAAACCAGGCAGAGAGAAGATCCCAACTTCTCAGAGGCTTGATGTCATTCCCCAATCTTTCAAGGCAGGGCAGAAGAGGACTTCTCTTGTGTACTGGGAACATGCCAAACACCTCACCAAGGCTAAGAACAAATAATTTGTCTTACTTCTGCCCCCCAGCTGGTCTTGCATGCATGAAAACCCCTCTGTACACCTAGCACACAGAGAACAGTGGTACTGCAGCCCTACCTAAGCCATCTGGCACATTTTGCTCTACAGCAATCCAAGAAACCAAGTGATATCACAGAATTATAGAATCCTAGAATTTAGGGGTTGGAATGGACCTTAGAGATCATCCAGCCCCAACCCCTGCCCTGGGCAGGGACACCTCCCACCAGAGCAGGCTGCTCAAGGCTCATCCAACCTGGCCTCCTCTCTCACAGGGAGATGCTCCAGTGCTCTTAGCAACTTCATGGCCTCCTCTGGACTTACTCCAACAGTTCCATGTACTTCTTATGTTGAGGACACCAGAACTGCATGCAGTATTCCAGGTGGGGTCTCACCAGAGCAGAGGTGAAGAATCACCTACTACCTAGTCCACGTGCAGCTCCTGCCTCTGCCATGGTGCCACAGGTACACCAAGCTCAGTCTGCAGTGTGGAGGTCTACATCAATCCACAGCCATGGCAATAACAACCCTGACCACTGCTAAGGTGAAAGAAACAACTTCTCCAGCCCTTTGTCTCTCCCTCTTGTCTTTCAGACTCAGCTAGCCAAGCTAGGGGATGTGTTTTCTCTGTCCATGCCCTTACGAGTTTATGATATGGAAGAACAGGCTGGAAATAATGCACTGATATAATAACCATCGAGAGAGTTGTTAATCAGCATTAGCCATATTGAATTTACCAGCAAAATAGAGACAGCAGCCCTGCAGAAAACAAGCACACAAAATCTATTTCAGTTCAGTTCGACACTGCTTTTCTCCTTACAGAGTCCTGTGGAGTGAGATGCTCTGGCTAGTCCTAATTGATTTAAGTGACCAGACTTCCACTACTTCCTTTGGGAGATCATTGCCAGACTCTACTTAAAGACTCCTTGTGAGGAAATATTTCCCTTATTTTCCTCCATCATCTCTCATTATATTTCCTTGATGCATTCCGGGCAATGCTTTTTCCTTTCAGAGAAATAGTTGTATTGCTGCTACACTCTCTGCCTTCTTTGGTTTGTATTTGTGTCATTAATGGAAAA